CGCCCCCAGACCTCGTGGGAGCGTCTCAGGCGCCCCTTTCCCACCCCGGGAGAGCCCGAACAGCAGGGGCGACGGGTCACCGCGTCAGGCGCAGGGCGGGAGCCCGCTTCCCCCCCCCCCCCCCCCCCCCCCCCCCCCCCCCCCCGCCGGCCCCCCCCCCCCCCCCCCCCCCCCCCGGCCTGACCCCGCGCCCCCCCCAGATAAGGGGGCGGGGCTTTGTTCCCCCCCCCAGCTGGGTAAACCGCGCCCGCCGACCCCCCCCCACTGCCCCCACCGCTGAGGCCGCCCGGGGTGGGGGCACCCTTTGTCCTGCCGGAGCGCGGGCGGACAATGGCCCGGAGGAGCCGCACATTGTCGGAACTTTGTGTACACCTGGGGGGCGGCAGGTGCGCGGGGTCGGCGCGGGGCCGGAGGCGAGCGGGCTGGGGGCGGGCATCTGGGGGCGCGGGCCTCCCGGGAGGCCTCGAAGGGGGGAGAAGACCCGCCCCCACCCGCCCCGGCTGTCCCGCTCGCTGGACCTGGCGAGGGGGAGGGGGTTTCTCGGCGTCCAGTTGGGGACACACCTGGTGCGTGATTTACGAAGTGAAAGTGTTAGACGAGGCCACCAGCTGGAGGCCCGACCCAGCTTTATGAGTTTTATTAGGTGCCCTATTATGTAAAATAAACTTTAATCCGACCATAAAAACCAAATCTGAAAAACATATTTGCCCTGTGGTGTGGAACGGCGCAGCGTTCGCCGCGCAGGTCACACCTCCGGAGGGATTAGTTTTACGAGGGAGACACAGCGCGCCGCAGGACTTTGATACCGGATGGGGGCCCGGCACGTTTGCTGGGAGCACGCCCCCGTGTCGCCCACACCCGGCCCTGGGCCCCGCCTGCGAGCCCCGCCCCGCCCCGCCGCACCCCCTGCGCCACCCCCACCGCGCTGCGGGCCACTCCCCCGCCCAGCAGCGCAGCCCCGGCCTGGCCACCCCAGGACCCCGGGCTGGAGGGGCCGGCACAGGGGAGGCCGCAGGGCCGAGTTACCCCGCAGGCCCCGGAGGCGCTCTACGGCCCCCGCCTGGAGTTCGGGGCCGGGCGCTCTCCAGCGCAGCCTCGGATCTCCAGAAGCCCTCCTGCTCCGGTCCAGGGCCGCCCCTCCGGGACCTTGTCTGTGCTTTGGATTTCGCACAGCAAGTCTGGCCCATCTTGCGGGAAGGAAGTTGGGAAGGAAGAGAGAGGGGGGTGGCGAGAAGGAGAGGGAGGAAGGCCTGTCGGAGCCACCCACAGTGTCAGCACCGTACTGTTCACTGGGCTTAGGCGAAAGGTCTCTGGGATCCCCTCGCCTCCCCAGACTGGAAGTCTGAACCCGCTGGAAAGCTCCTTCCCCTCCTCCCAGGCCCTGACAACCACCCTCCTACGTGTAAGGACAGCTGTGGAGGCAAAGTCCTCAAAGTGCCTCCGCGCGGTGGCAGGTGGCAGGACTTCCTCCTCAAAGGCCGAATAATACCCCATTGTGCCCGTGTAGTCCTTCTGCTTTCTCTGTTCTCCAGCGGACTCCGCGACGCCTCCGCCTCCCGATCCCTGCGGACGCCGCAGCCGCGAGCGCGCGTGGGCCGGCCTCGCTTCCCGATCCCGTGTCCAGGGCTCGTGCACGTACAGCCCGAAGTAGGACTGCTGGGGTTTTGTCTTGCGTTTTCGAGGAAACTCCATCCTGTTTTCTGCAGCGGCTGCACTGCGGTACGCTCTTCCCCGCAGTGCACAACGGCGGCGGCTCCATATCCTCCCGACGCTTGTTATTCTGTTTTCGTTTTTTGCAATAGCCGAGGTGTGGGTGAGGGGTGGTATCTCAGTGTGGTTTTGGCCCGCATTTCCCCGATGGTGGCTGGCGGTGGTGTCTTTCCCGGGCTTGCGGACCATCTGTATGTCCACCTCAGAAAAATCTCTATTCAAGCCCTTTGCCTATTTTTAAACCGGATTCGTGCGTTTGTTGTTGAATTGTACACGTTCTTACATTTTGGCATATTAACCCCGTATCAGATATATGATTTATAAATATCTTCTCCCAGTCCTGGGTTGCCTTTTCATTCTGTTGACTGTTCCCTTTGCTGCACAAAAGTTTTCAAGTTTGATATGATCCCCTTGGCCTATGTTTGCTTTTGGTGTCTTAGGAAGTCTTTTAAGCTGATCTTGCCAAGCTGACTTCCCTCGGGGGCTGGCATGTGGAAGGCCCACCTCACAAGGAACAGACTCTTCCTCTAGGTTCTAGTCGTTTCTGCACTTTTCAGACTCTGCCTATTAAAGCTTCTGTGGGGGCCTGGGACCCTGGGCCACCCGCCATGACTGGACAAGAAACGTGTGGGCCGTGGCCTGGAAGATACGTGCAGATTGGTTTCGTTGTCACAAGAAGGGCTGTGTCCACGTCCTTCTGCACATGCCGGAACACTGCCAGAGCAGTGTCTGTCTTCTGAGAAGGAAGGAGAACCTCCCGCTAGCGTGAAGAGAAGCGGGCTCAGGCTCCGGTCCTCGGTCCTCGGTAGGCAGGGGTCCGGTCCGGCTGGGATTCCCGGAAGAGCCGGCTCCACTTTGGGTGGGGGCCTCGCTGGGGACCCAGCCCCCGGGGCTGCAGGGTCTCTACTGGCACCCTCGCCGTGATGGAACTCGGAGAGGCTACCGCGATGCCCCCGTGGAGCGTGGGCTTGTGTCTCTGGACCTGTGCTGCGAGGACCTGGGTCCAGGTCGTGGAAACAGGGCCCTGGGTGGGGCTGCAGACCTCTCACCCGCCTGGCGCAGGCAGCGGGGTGGGGGGCGCGCCCCGCGAGGCGGGCAGAGCAGGGCCTGGCGGCCGTTCATTAGGTGGAATGAATTGTTCGCCGTGCCCGGAGTGGGTGAGGATGAGCCAGTGATTATATTTAAATTTGCTATAATTGATTTGGGGAAGAGCTACTGTGACAAGAACGAATTGATCATTAAATTTATTAGCGAGATAAATTCCGCCGCGATTAGGCAGCTGGCTGCAGGCGCTGGGGCCGCGGGCCGGGTCTCCCCGCCGCTAAGTCCCCGCGCCAAAGGCGCGCGCGCGCTGCGGGCCGCGGCGGGGTCAGGATGCTCGGCGGCCTTTACGGCTCCGCTTCCCCGCACGCCCGCGAGCCGGCTCTCCCGACCGGCAGGCGGTTCTGTCCCTGCGGCGGGGCGGGGGGGCAACCCGAAGGCCCCGCTGCCCCGCGCCGAGCCGGGGGCGGCCCCGGACTGAAGGCAGCGGGGGAAGGGATTGCTTCGGGCTGAGCCGCTCCAATGTGTTAGAAATTAAAGCGCCCTCGACGCAGATGGCCAAGGTTTGGTTTGGTTTGGTTTTGATCCGCAAAGGCATCTGTGTTTCTCTTCTCTCCCTCCCCAGCCGCCCTCTCCTGTCGCCACCCGCCTTCTCGGGGCCCTCGGGCTTCGCACCAGTTGCACAGCCAGTCCCCGGCCCCCCAGAGCACCTTTGGACCCGCCCGGCCTCCGCTGACGTTGCGCTTCACGGAACGAGCAGGGGTGATAATGAGCTGCCCGAGAGGGCATTAATCTCGCCCCGGCCCCGAGGTAGAGGAGTGGCCCCGCAGGCCCGCGGTAATCACCCAAATGAAACGCCTGGCCCTTGTGAACTCATTCATCAGCGGGAAGCGGGGGCGGGGAGGGGGCGCGCGGGGGAGGGGGCGCGCGGGGGAAGGGGCGCTCGCCGGGCGCCCGCGGGCGGGGGAGGAAGAGGCTGAGGCAGAAGGACGGAGGAGGGCACGAGCGAGAGAGAGAGAGAAGCCGCCTGCCCCGGTCGCCCCGGCCGCCTCTCTGCTCTCGGCCCACGAGCGGCCGCGGCCCGGCGTGGGGGGAAGCGGAGCGGCGGGCTCGGCGGGTGATGGGGGGCGCCCGCCGCGGGCTGGATCAGCCCAGAGCCGCCGCAGCCCCCCCACCACACCCCAGAGGCCATCCGGTCGCCCGCCCTGTCCTTGCGGGCACGTGCACAGACCCCAGGAATGTGGCTCCTGGCCGGAGCCGGAAAGGTCCTGAGGGAGAGGGCGCCGGAGAGAAGCCCGGGGTTACTCGAGGCCTTCGGACCCCCAGACGCCGGGAAAATCATCTCGTCGTTTTCAAGCTTATTTGCTGAAACATTCGATTGTGCGTTGGTGAAGCAAGAGCCTTAAGGAAATGAAAAACTAAATACTCGGAGTCCGAAGTTGCTCTCCTGAGATTCACGCACTGAGGCGCGCGCTGACCCTGGTCTCAGGTATTTTTACCGACATCTGGCAGCTTGGACTCCGCGGCGGCGGGAACCAGGTGCCCCGCCTGCGACACAGCCGGGGAGAGGGGTGTTCCCGACGCCTGTTTGTCCTTCTGATTTGCACCTTTTGCTGTCAGTCGTGGAGATCGCCGCACCCCGTCATTTCAAACGACAAACCAGTACAGCGCGCTTTTCCAACTCACTCCCCAAGGATCTGCACTCGCGTCCAGTAAAAAACCAGTTTATTTTACATTCCATCGTGGGCGATGGGAGAAGCTAAATAATAATTTAGCATGCATAATTAGACACTTCTTCATATATATATATATATATATAAATACAATATACAAAAATAAAGACAGTACAGTTTTGAGATTTCCAGCAGTTTGAATGCTCATGACATAAAGTTCCCCCTAAGATAGGTGAGCACAAAACATTCTCCCTTTTTCCATACTCAGCAGAATGGCGATTCTGGAGAAGGTTTCAAGTCTTCCAGGTCGTCCAACACTGTAGGTCCGTGCCTTCTCCATTCGGGAAGAGGGGGTGGGAGGCTCCCTCTGGTACTGGTCAGCTCTTCTCATAAGCACAGCCCCCAACACTAACCAAAATGAAATTAAAAAGAGCAGGAGTTCAAGTTTGAACCCGCTGGGCCTCCCTCTCTCTGTCCCTTTAAGAGCAGCCCCAGAGGGACGGCCGGTGGCCTGGCTCACAGGCCTGCGGGGCTGGGCCTGGACAGGGCTGCTGGCTGCCTTGGGGCGCGGGGCCCCTACTGGGGCAGGGGCTGGTGCCCCGGGCCGCCGGGCCGCGGAGGCGGCGAGTCAGCCTCGGAGGAGCAGTCGGAGGAGACGGCGTGCGTGCTGGCGCCGTTGCTGTAGGGGAAGTGGTCCTCGTCCTCGTCGTCCTCGTCATCCTCAGGGTCACTGTCCCTCAAGTCCCGCAGGCGGCGTGTGCTGCCTTTGTCCCCGACCGCCGGCGGCCCCAGCAGCTCCTCCTCTCCCTTGTCCTCTGCGCTGCCACCTTTGCTGGCGCCCCCGCCCCCCTTCTGCTTCTCGGCCTCCTGCGCCGCCTGCTCCTTGGCCTTTTTGCTGCGTTTCCACTTCATGCGCCGGTTCTGGAACCAGATCTTCACCTGAGAGCACGAGAGGCTGTGAGGAAGCGTCCACCTCCACCCCCACCAATTGTGTCTGAGGCCCCCAGCTCGGCACCTGCACCTCGGGCTTCAGAGTAGGGGACACGGAAGCTCCAGGGGGAAGCAGCGTCCCACTGCCTGGGCATCAGCAAACCCAGGAGTGGGGCTGGGGGTTTCCAGGGAAGCCCAGACTCGGACCTCCACTGCCGGACTCCTGTCCTTTTCTAGGGGTGCTCTCCCACAGCCCAGGAAGGGCTGGAGCAGCTAGCATCCATACCTGTAAATCTCAAGATGTTCCCTCTCTTTCTGGAATAAAATTTCTCAAAATTGGGCCTGGGGACCATAGCTTCAAAGTGGGGGAGTGAGTGGAGGGTCCTTCAAGCGCAGACTTCAGGGTCTGACCTCAGCCTACTGGATCAGACCTCTGGGCCTGGTGCATGAACCCCAGCGAGGCCAACGGCGAACTCTCCCCCCACGAATGTCAGTCGTCCCCCTAAAGTCATAGGCTCCACTCCAGGTGCCAGGAGTGCAGAGGGAAGAGTGTCCCCTAGGAGGCCGGCTGGTGTTGCGGTGGGGGCAGGCTTCGTACCTGGGTCTCCGTGAGCATCAGCGACGTGGCCACCTCGAAGCGCTTGGGCCGTGACAGGTACTTGTTGAGCTTGAACTGGTGCTCCAGCTCGAGCAGCTGCTGGCTTGTGAAGGCCGTGCGCGGCCTGCGGCACTTCCCCAGCAGGCTAGACTGTGCCTGGGCTGGGACAGAGATGGGCGTGAGGCCCACAGCCTGACGCTGTCCTCTGACCTGTGGGCCCTCAGCGCCCCAGAGCCCACCACCCACGTCTGCCACCTGGCCTCCCGGACCCTGCTGAGTCCGCTGCTCTTTCTTCAGTGTCAGTGCCTCCTCCCCAAGGGACCCGATGACCGGACAAGCCCAGGACCTGGATACCAGGGACAGACATACGGGTTTGGGTCTAATGGGACTTTTTTTTTTTTTTTTTTACCTCGGTTTCGGGGTTTTGTGTTAAAAACAGCCTTTCCCCCCGGGCAGTCCCTTTTGATTGGGGGGGGGGGGGGGGGGCGGTGCAGTGCAGAAGAAGTTGACAGGCAAGACAGTGAGAGCGGAGAGGTACAGGTACAGCTCCTCTCCACCCCTCAGCCAGCCTCCCCCAGCTCAGCCACAAATACAAACAGGTCTGGGAATTACTAGCCCCATGTCCTCCTGACCAGCAAGGAACTGGTGCAAGATTCCCACCACCACCTCCTCAGCTACAGAAGAAGTAGGGCAAAGGCCAAGAGAGGAGGAAGGAGGGAAGGAGAAGGACCACATCTTGGGCCCAAATGAGAATCCATCCCACCCCCCACTGAAAATTCTTCCTGACAGCCCCTCCTCCAGGGTGCAGAGGAGCAAAGCCCCAGAGACTGGAACAGAACAGTTCTCACTTCACAAATTGAAGCCGAGGCAAAGAGGGGATCCGTTTTTCTGAACGTGCAAGGAGGTCCCTTGGCTGAATTTACATAATTTCACACGGTTACATCACAGAGAATTTTATGACCTCAAAACGAGACTTCCCTTGATTTCCCAGGAGCCTGACAAGTGTTAGACAATAAACGAAAGGGAAGAAAAGAGGCCAGCCGGTAGGCTGGGCTCAGGCCCCCCCCGGGGGGGGGGCAATTTGCTTTACGGAAGGCCCACGCCCCCAGCTTTAGTTAAATGAGGCCCCAATTCCCAGCTCGACAATACATTAGAACTTTAATTAAAACACTGGCTCCAAAGGGACCGTTTGGGAAATGCCATCCAACAGAAGAGACAACCAATTAAAGGAAACCAAACAGGTTTTCCTGCGACCAGAGGAAGGGACCCTCGGAACACATTCCGGCCTCCTGGCCTGTTTATTATCGCCTTTTAAGATTTGACATTTTCTAATTCTGCTACCTCTAGGTCAAGATTAGGAAACAGGGATGGCGGAAGGAACGTGACTTTCGTCAATTTTCGGAGCGACCTTGAGCTTCACGCAGGCCAAGGAAAGCACGGTGGGTTGGGGGCGGGTGGCGGGTGGCAGGGAACCCAGCACCCAGAAGAAGTGTGTGTGTGTGTGTGTGTGTGTGTGTGTGTGTGTGTGTAGACCTCCAACTCCCTCAGTGGGAGATTAAGCTTCCCAGGCTCTGGGACATGCAGGTCATAAGGGAACATCCACGGGTGCCCTTCCATCAGAAGGGTGGGTAGACTCTGCTCACAGCCAAGCCCAGGAAGAGTGCTGGAGTTTGGCTGACCCGGGATCTGCAAGTTCAGATATGTTTGCCCCAAGATGAAAGGTGAGTCCCGGCTTTCCCTGCTGCAGATCCGAAGGGGCTGACATCCACCTGGACGGGCTGCGTGGCCATTAGGGTCTTCTGGGAGCTGAGCTGGAGAAAGCCTGTGGCGGCTACGGGCAAACAGTCCACAGGCTGGGATTTTCTCACCCCCCTGTGACTTCTGCAGCTCTCAGGCCCCTGGCTTTTCTCTGTTTAGTCACAACCGTGGCTTCTAGCAGAGGAATCTGAATTCTGCCAAGGGCTTATTTTTGTTTTCTTTTTTGCTTTTTTCCTCTCCTACGCCTGCATCTCTCCAGTCTAAGCACATCCACTCAGAAGGAAACAATGGGGTCTCTTTGTCTGGGTGTTCTGCGGCAGAAAGCATGAAGTCTCACGCATCAGCCTCTCCGTGGAGCCCGGGTGGGGCGAGCCGAGGGGAGATTGAGACTCCCCAGAATGCCAACCCCTTGTGCCCGTCCAAAAAGTCGGGTGGGCTCAGGCCTCCCGGAGGTGTACCACCTGCCTGGCAAGCATGCTGCCCACAGCCCAGCAGCTCCCAGGCTGGGGCCGGCCAGCCGTCCCTCGCTCCTGTCTTGGGGAGGGGTTCCCTCTAATGGGAGCCTCCAATTCTGGGCGGGCACCTGCCAATCCCTACAGTGGTGTTCGTGAAAGAGGCACATCTCCCCTTCGGAAGGAGCCCACCACGGCTCTGTTGAAGTCCGGCCATCTGCCTGCTGGACATCACACCGTGGCCCAAGCACCCTTACAGAGGCAGCCAGCACCTCCGCAAAGGGCCAGAGCAGAGCCAGGGACCTGGCCTTTCAGCCCTGGCCTCTTGAAGCCCATTTCTAGTTCTCTGCTCCTGAATCACTCCTCCTGAGAGGGGCTGGGGTGAGGGTGGGGGGGGTCTCTCCAGAACCCACAATGCGGTACCTAATTCAAGTTCGTTTCCCTGGAGATAAGCCCCTGGTTTAGGTAGCCTCGATCCCCAGGCCGGCCTGACTTGGGTGCTCTTTGACTCGCCTTCCTCCACCGCTTCCTTCTCCTCCAGCCCGCCGGTTAATCATTAGGTTTTAGTCTCACACCTCCAGCTGCCCCTTCCCGTTAGGAGAGGAAGAGAGAGCCCGGCCCGCGCGTGGCCATTTTAACCCTTTCGCTGCCAATCCCACAGCGGGCTCCATGTAAGTCTTCGCGGGCCCCGGGCGGAGCCCAGGCGGCTTCACGGCGCCTCCACCGCGCTTTCAGAGCCGAGAGCAAGGAGAAGGAGGCGCCGGGTAGAGGAGGGCGCGCGGGAAAGCCGTGTGCCAGGACTCCCGCCCCCCATTTCTCCCTCCCTTCCTCAGCGGGCGCAGGGGCCCGCGCGGTACTCACAGTTAAAGTCGGGCATCTTGGGCAGGATCATGCCCGCGGTGGACGCACGCAGCCACTGGTCCAGCTGGAAGGTGCCGGCGCCCAGCTTGATGGGGTCGGCGGGGTGCGCAGCGTGCGCGCCCTGCACCTGCGGGTAGGAGTAGGAGAGCGCCGGGTGCTGGCCGGCCAGCGCGGCCGCCGCCGCCGCCGCCGAGTAGCCGTAGACCGGGTGGCCGTAGAGCGCCGCCTGCGCGGGGAGCCCCGCGCCGCCCTGCGCGCCCCCGGGGTGCAGCCCCAGCGCCAGGCCCCCCGCGGCGGCGGCGGCAGCGGCGGCGGCGGCCGCGGCGGCCGCGGCGCCAGGGTGCGCGTGGTGGTGGGGCCCCCCGGGCCCGCCGCCCGCGCCGCCCGCGCCTCCGCCCGCGCCGCCCGCGCCCAGGAAGCCGGGCTGGGCAGCAGCGCGCAGTGTGCGGCCAGCAGGCGCGGCGGCGAGGGGCTCTCTGCGTGCAGACGGTCGGCGGGCGCCGCGGGCGGCTCCGAGGACGCGGGGCTGCAGCCGCCGCTCGCCCCGCCGCCGCCGCCGCCGCCTCCTGGGCCGGACGCGGCGGCCGCGAGCGACGTGACCAGGGCCAGCGGCGCGGTCTGCGCCGAGGATGATCGCGGGGGGTCCACGGCCAGCAGCGCATCGATGCGGAAATTTTTGGATTTTTCCATCGGCTCGTCTGGGGCTGGCGAGCGGGGCCGGGCGGCGGGTGGCGCGGCCGGGTGCGGGCTCGCGGAGTCCTTGCGCGGCGGCGGCAAGCCCCGGGGTTCGGTATTGTTATGGTGATTATTTGCCAATAATCAAAGTCGCCGCCGGAAACTCAGCCGAGGGTGACCATGGTCCGGGCGCCTCCTCCGGGCGGGCCCCGCCCCGGGCCGCGCTCGCACGCGCTCGCACAAACTCGCACGCGAGTGCCTGGACGCGCCGGGCCGGGGAGCCCGGCTCAGTGCGCTGGACCCTCGGGCGACCGCGCGGAGGCCGCTGGCGCGGTAGTGGGGACCCGCGCCCCTCCGCGCACTTGAAGCGCAGCGCGGCCGCGGATTGGCGCGCTCGGCGGGGGCTCGGGGAGGGGCGCCGGCCCGGCCATTGGCCGAGGGGCGCACCTGTCACCGTCCCGGCCGCCCGCCGCCCCGCCCCTGCGCCGCGGGGTCCTAAACAACCGGGGTGCTGCGCCGCGATGGCAGGGCGGACACCGCCCTTGCCACACTCGGAGGCTCAGCCTAGGGACCCTGCCCGCCCTCCTCCAAGTGCCGAGCTGGACTGCGGGCGCTGGCACCTCTGCGTGCCCGTGTGGGCCCCGCCGTCTGAGCCCAGCTCCGGAGACACGCGGCCCGGCTCTGGCCTCGGCGGCCCCTGGAGCCAGCGGCGCGCGTCTTCTCGCGCCCCCTCGCCGGCACCTGCGTCCCTGCGCTTCTGCGCCGCGGATCCCGCGTTGCGTGCAGATCCAGCTGCTTGGCTGCCTGACGGCGGTACCACGAAGACCACACCGGTCGCCAGGCCCTGCTCCTGGGTCTCCAGGGTGCCCGGGAGCAGATTGTGTCCCTGTCGTCAACCCTTTGCAGGTCGAACCGTCTCATCTCTGGGAAGTCCCGTGCGTTTCTGGTGTCGTGTGTATGTGTGTGAGCGAGTTTGCCTTCCACTAGTCCTTGCCTTGAGCCCCTGCCCGGTCCAGGCAGAGAGGGCAGGGTCTGTGAGCCCCGCGGCCTGCAGGACCCAGGTCGCCTTGGAGACGTCGCCCATCTGCCAGTGACAGGATCCTTGGTGACAGAGCGCTTCTTCTCTGCGGAAGGACACCCATGGGCATGCAAGAGGCAGCACCCACCTCGGTTCTGGAGAGGCTGCGGGAGCCGGGAGCCCTGCCGAGGCCGGTCATCCCGACCCTGCTTAGTCTCCAGGCAGGAAAATGCAGCCTCTCTCCTCTCCCTACTTGCAGCTTGGGAACTCGGGCGAGAGGGCTTCCCCTGGCTGAGCAAGGTAGTGGAGTGAGAATCCAGACGTCACACCCACCCCTTCCGTCCCCCATACACACAGCTCAAGTATTTACAGTAAAAGCACTTCCAAGGGCTTTTCTGAAGCCGAAAGAATCAGCATGCAGGTCGGAGGGTCGGGCAGCCCCCGGTACCAGGCTTTGTCAATAGCTCTGCTAGAATAGCTCTGGGCCGCAGGGGAAAGAATGCAGGAGGGGGTGTGGGTCCTTGAAGCCAGCTTCCTAAGCAGGTGAGAGGTGAGTAAAGCACAGGGTGGGGGCTGTGGGAGGGGCAGAGGAGGAAGGAAAAATGAGGGCAGGTAAACCTTAAAATGAACAGATCAGGTTGCTACAAGAGGGACTTTTTTTTTTTGAAGGTAAGTGTGGGGATCATTTAGTTTCCCTTCAAACGGCTTTTTGCCTTGGCAAGAGTTGGCTGCAGTGATTGTATTGGCAAGAGCCGAGATTTTTTCTTTCTTCATTAAAACAGGGTAGTTTGGAGACACACAATACTAGCTGGAAATCGGAGGACAGCAATGGGTAAGGGACAGCGATGGGAATAAATATTATATAGCTTTGCAAAAACCAGTCGTACTTTGTACAATAGAAATTACAGCATTTACATGGTATCTGGTCTTTAGATGCGGTCTCTGGGGCCGTGAAAATGAAGTCCGGCCTTTAAGCAGAGAGGGGAGAGCCCTTACCTTTCCTGAGCACAGCCCCATGCCACGTGCTTTCTAGAATTCTCTTCTTTAATCTTCACTGTGACACTAGGAGAAGGATTTTGTCCTCTCCATTTCAGAGAGTAGAGGTGCCAAGAGCTTGAGACTCTTGTCCCCAGCAAACTGTTAAGCCTCGTAGCTGGAAGTGGGACCGAGTCTGATGCTGAGGCCACACAGCTGTCACCTGCTGCTCTCGGTGCTCGGGGGTCCCTGACCCTGTTTCTTTGTGCCACCCATTCGCTCCAGGGAAGGAGGCTTACGAAGGACACCTGACATCCTTGGCCACTTGTTCTGGGCAGGAAGCCCTTCGCCCTGCGAGGCCAGTAATGACATGTTGGCTGTCATTCTGCCTCCCCAGGAGAGGCTTGGCCCCCACCTCTGGTAGGGGCTCGCTCTAAGGCTGACTGCCTTTCTCTGCTTCCCCCTCCGTCTGCTGGCTGGGACTCTTGGGATGGAGAGCAGTGATTTAGGAGGCTGGGAGGAGTGAATGAAACTCCCCAAGATTGATCTTGGAGGGACTGCTGCCCTCTTTTCTCCCCAAAATATGCACAGCCAGGGATATTTTAGTTGGGGACAGGGTACAGTCTAAACTTTACGTTTACACACGATAAATGCCCCCATTTCTTCAACCAGATCATTGTGTTTTAGAAATTGTGTTTAAATCAGAGTGACTGATTTCACCCCCTCTTTGTTCCACAGTACCCATTTCTCCTAAGCCCCTTAAAATCCACCAGAGAGGGGAAGGGGCAAGCACGTCCCTCCCCTTAAGACCAGCAGAGAGCACTTCCTGGAAGCGTGGACTGGACAGGTATGTGGGGATCGCGCAGGGGAAAGTTCACCTGGTTTTACCCCCAAGGCCATACCACCTGTGGGAGCACCCAGGAAGGCATCCAAGAAGCAATAAGCCCTCTGGGGGGGTTTCCTGGTCCCGCCACCCCCAACTGCCATGAGACCGGATGCCAGTCCTCTTTTATTTTTATGGATTTCTGTTTCTTTGTTTAGAGAAGTCAGGGTTAGGCCAGATGCACTCTGTGGGGCCAAAGGGCTTTAAAATTATCATATATTCTGTTGATGTTAAGAAAAAGTTAGTACAGATTGAAGGTTTTCAGGGAAGTTGTATGGAAAGAGAGAGGGACAGGGAAAGAGGGAGAGGTCTTGGAAGTTTGGGGTCTTTGTGTGGTTTATGAGGTGTGAAGCCGAGCGAGAGGGCTCTTCCTGTCTCCGGTCTGTACTGATCAAGCCCGGCTGGCTTTGAAGGATGGGGCCGACAGGAGCAAGGCCTGCGTCTGCTGGAGGGCCCTCACCCTCCCTCACCCTCCCTCACCGCCCTCGAAGGAGATCAAAGGTCTGATCCCAGCAATACTCCCAACCCCAGTCTCCAGGTGACTCCCCTCTCCAGCAGCCCCGGGAGGACTGGGGGACCCTCGATTTCCTGAGCAAGCCTGTGTCATCAGCTCCCCCCTCTTAGCCCCTTGCCTGCCCGGCATGGCACACCTTTTCTCTCTTCACAGTCTCCCTTCAAGATACTGAATATGCCTGCAGTCACCCTTCTCTCATGACGTAGAAAGGCAACTTGGTGGTTTATAACAATGACTGCAAAAGAAAAAGCTGTTTGCAACCCATGTCTATGCATATCCGGAGTTATGAACCTATGAGGTTGGGAATAAAGCCCGTGTATTCACCCATCCGGAGGCTGGGAGGCGGGCATTGTTCCTTATCAAGCACGTGTAGCTTTCTCCCGGTGCGAGCGGGGCAGGAGGGCACTGGGCACTGGGCAGTGGGAGTTCCTCCGCTGTCCCTGCACTCTCCCCACTTCCCCCAAGTCCAGGGAAATGCTCCGAGCCCAGAGCCTCCGGGGGTACCTGGCCAGCTAGACCCGGGGTCAAGCAAGTGTGTGGGGGGTCGGTGGAGAGTACGGGGGGAGGGAGGGCTAGGGTCACCGGAAGGCAAGCCCGGGGGCAGGGTACGGAGGAGGAGGAGGGGTGGATCCGTGCAGGTGGCCCCTCCCCCCACCAGCGAGCCCCAGGACTAAAGGTATCACGTTGTTAGCACTGCCCTTTGATCTGCTGACCTCCTTCCTGACCCGGGGGCGCTCAGCCCGTAAAGCGGTCTGGAAAGGGTGGGACCCCGCTGACCAAAGGCTCCAACGAGAGGTGGGCCCTGCTGGAGGCACTGGGTGCCTTTTCTCGAGGCCCTTCCTTGTTGGCCTCGCCCTTTACACCTGAATTTCGTGTCACACCTTTAGAAACGCAGCCACAGGCCCCTGGGGCCTGGCCCTAAGGGAGCCCCCCCCTCTCAAGTCCCCAGGCTGCGGGTCTGTCCCCGTCAGCCAGGCCCAGCTCCAGGTGCAAACGACCAGCCTAAGTGGGCCTCGGTGCTGGGGTTGTGCTAAGAGGTCGGGAGGATCCTGCAGGATTTAGGTGCCTAAAAATCCAGCAACCCTAAAAGTCCTCTATTTTTGGACATTTTCTCCAGATACAAAAATATCTGCTTTATGCTCAGACCTTGGGCAGTCTCCCAGCTTCCGTGGACTCCAAAGAGAAGGGACAGGTCTTGGTGTGTGGATGGCGGGGGAGGGGGCTGACGCTCAGCCCCTGCCCTCCCTGTGGCACATTTTCCTTCTAACCCACAAATCTGAAAGGGCTTCCAGCTTCTCTGTTGCACAAATTCGAAGCTCCAGGTGACAAAGAGAAACAAATTCCTCCCAAGACATCGGGGAGCACTGGGAGCACGGGGGAAGGTCACAGGAGCCCCTTTAGTCAAGCTGGGGAACTACAGTCTTCAACAGAGATGGAGAACTTTCCCCAAGTAGCTTCTATTTTTGATAGAGGATTTTAAATGAATTGCAGGTTCACTCTTGCAAGGTAGACAGCGCGCACGCCCCGCCACGGAGTCGGCCTTTCGGGCTTGCTGCAACCTTGGTGACCGCAGTCCGTCAGCTAAGGCCTGAGCCGCCCCTCATGGGCAGTGAGCGCGGGCCTGG